TTTTTAAAAGCCCAATAACAAAGAAAAGTATTTATAAAACTGTATATCCTAAATATGAAATGAGGTAAAAAAAGCATTCCATGTTAAAAGTCACATGCGGATGTCAGAGATTACCATGCATTATATATATATATATATAAATAAATAAAAGGAAGAGGTTATAGTGGTTCCAACAAGAGAAAAGTGTGTATATTAAGAAGAGAGATACTGCAAACGTTTTTGGTTGTAATGTGGATTTTTTTAAAAAATATTATGCTTTATTTTCTATAATTTTACTACACAGGTTTCTGGTCTTAGTGTTAGTAATCCAAATGTCTTTCTTGAAGTGGCAATTGCCAGTTCAAGAAAGACATTCGGATTACTAACACTTAAAAAAAAAGAGAATGTCTCATATCAAGAATATTTAATATTGAAAAACATAAAAGAGAAAAAAAAATTAATTATTTTTAATAATATGTGGAAATCTCCACCGTTTACCTGATGATGGTCGCGAGACCAGAAACACATGTAGTAAAATTATGGAAAATAAAGCATAATATTTAAAAAAAAAAAAAAAAATCCACATTACAACCAAAAACGTTTGCAGTATCTCTCTTCTTTTTAATATATATATATATATATATATATATATATATTATTACATTAAATATTATAAACACATGTTTGTGTCCATAACCCCGTGCAAATTTACATCTACTCGCTTGTGCATCTGAGAGTCTTAATAAAGAAACTGTCTTTCAGGAAATGCAGATTTGATCCTTGCTGGAAAGCACATTTTCTTCATTAAGACTTTTGAATGCACAGGCTGGTAGCCATAAATTTATACTATTTAAAAAAACAGGAATGTCTACTCAAACACGTGCATCCAGTAAATATAATGGTTAAAGTAATAACAAATAATCACTTAGACATTATCTATATTATTAGTGAACAGTTAGTAAATGTGATCAGCATGTGTTAATTGTACACTCTTTTCAGGTAGATGTTTGTGACACAGTATAAACATGCAGGCATACAGCTATTCAAAGACATGCATAAGTATACACACACACACACTTTCTAATTATATATATATATATATATATATAGAAGTGAAATTTGTACCATCTTGATGTAGAACATCATATATTTTTCTTACAAGAAATTCTTGAGAATTATGTAGCAATGTGCTTCATCAAAACATCATCACTAGCACAAGTTTTCCTTGAATGTCCACTTCTCACTAAATGTGTCTGAATTTTGGAAACTCACAACAGCACTATGCATCCCTATTTTGCTAAAACCTACTTTTACACTAATTTCCTGTTCAGAATAGGCTTCATCACGTAAAACCACATTTTGAGCTTTTCATGTTGATGGGAGTGAGGATTTTCTACTCCTATTCTCAGCCTAATTCACTACACCAATAGTATACCAATGGCTACTAATTTAGCAATGACAAACAGATTTTAACCAGAAATCATATGTTCATAATGGCTGATACAATAAAATAATATAGCATCTTTCAATCTCATATGATAAAAGATAATGCAAAAAAAAGAAGAAAATAATGTTGTTATAGCTATGTGGTCTCAAACCTCTGCTAATGTCTATATATATATATATATATATATATATATATATATATATATATTTTTAAATATGATTCCATCACGACACAGGAATTACTATGTTTTGAAACTGGTCATCCGTATTCTAGTTTAATTTCAATATTAAACCTTAACTGTTGGATGTCTGTTTCATTTTCATCCTCAAGTAATGTTTGAAATAACTAAGCAACAAAATGTTTAATTCATTCATAGTTTTGAAATGGAGGTGTAATCTGGGGTTAGTTTTTCATTATCAAAGGGTCTCTGCTTTGATGAAAGTAGAGGTGTTTGTTATATGTCAACTTTTTGAAGTTGTGTAAAGTTGGGTTGTATTTTTTTTTGTCTGGCAACAATGGCTAATTTTATCAGGCTCTGTTGTTTTTTTTTTTATTACTATCTGCTAAAACTCTAACTGATTGATATTGTAGTTACGGTCCTTTTTGGTGTTTATTTGTTTTTTTTTGTTGATGATTTCTTAAAGGGGCGTTAAGATTATGATTGGTTTGCATTTTTAAACCTATTGTTTTAATTGAATTTGTTAATAGATTTTATATGGTATTTTGTAATTTTTTATTAATTTTTTTATCCATTTATAAAATGCTAATTATTTAAGGCGAATATTTGGTGGTGTCTGCAAAAAACGTTATTTCATTTCTTTGATTTAAAAATTTTTTGTTTAAACTACACATTATCAAGTTTCTAAAAAACAAAAATTTGAAAATCTCTTTCTTCCCTTTTAACATTAAAACTTTTTCCTGTTTTTCTTTTTTTCTTTCTCTTTCTTTTTTTCCTTTTTTCTTGCGTCTGAATAAATTGAACTCCATTTATTTTGTAATATTTGGCTTGAAGAGATGGACATCTGAGTCCACGAAATAAAATATCACCTGAATGGATTTTTAAGGATTCTGTATTCATTATTATATTTGCTCTGTTCTTACATTGAGCTCTCTGGATTTATATCCTCTTTGGAATTATCCTATTAATTATCAAGTGATATTATATATATATATCTAACTATTTACATTTTTTTTAATATTTTCTTCATCTTTAATGCCATATTCATAACGTTTTGGCTGTTGTATGCTCCAGCCTTCTTCAGGTGATATAAATTGGAATTGTATGCCATGCCTCTTCTGGATATCTCACTTTCAGTTATTTCCCTTTAGTAACTCAACTTTCCAAGTTTTTGTTCACCTCTGCTATGGCCAGGTATTGAACTTACAACTCTTTGAGTCAAGTCACTGGATCACTTCAACCAATGCTTTTATCTACTGGGCCATTGTGTCTGGACATTACCCTGGTGGATGAAATAAAGGGTTTGGTTTGAAATTCAAATGTATATCACCTGAAAAAGGCCTGAGCATACAATCGCTAGAATGTTTTAATATGACAATAAAGATGAGGACAAAAGTCCAAACAATGTAAATAGTGTAAATAGTTACAATACCTCATCTCAGAAATATAAACAGATATATATTTATCACTTTAAATATCATTTTTAGTGGATACCCATATTAGAGTAGACACTTCATTTATTCTAAACGATATATTTATTTTTGTGTACCAACCTGAATATTTGAGAAATCTTATTAAAGAAAAAGATATGCCCTCTGGCAGGATTCAAACCTGCAATCCCCCTTGAAGTAGAAACCATCACTGGGTAAAACATCCTTTTAAATGACTTGGCCATGAAGAGTATTGCCAATCAAGCAGGGATGAATAATGCCTTTAAGCACAATACTTCACATTTCTAGATTCTCAAAAGTCCATATCTGCTCAGTTTTGTATCCGAAACATAATCAAAGCAATTTCTAAAGAAATAATGTTTTTTTTTATCTATTAATACAACAGATTTTTATCACCAGTTACACTCAGTAACCTCTTGTGTCCTAGTGACTTTATTGCCTTGCTCAGGGTGAAATGATTAAAAAAAACAAACAAAAAAAAACGAAAATGTATGGTTTAGAATAAACATGCCTCTGCTCAAATATGGGTATTAATAGATAAAAAAATTACTTCTTTTATATATATATATATATATATATATATATATATATATAATAGGATTACAGTAATTCCAAAAGTTTTTGTTGATAATTTGGGGATTATTTTTACCATTCTCACAAAATCATAATTGGAAGTAATTATGTTTGCCTATTTGTATCAGTTTATCTGAACAAAAGTCGAAATAAAATCAATGAGAACAAGTACCATCATAAGTCAGTGAATAGACTTACAAAATATAAATTTTGTTCTCATTTTCTAAGGATTTTGTGAATAAACATTGAAAAATTTAAAGAAAATCAGCCACAAAATCAATTGTTAAGTGAATATTGATTACGTTGCTATGTTGGAGTCATCCATTTGACCTCAGAATTGGTTGGAAGACAAGCAAGTTTTATATGCCAAGGGGAAGTAAATCACAGCATTAATTTTTTTTTTTTTTTTACGCTTACTAAGGGGAATAACTCTGACATGTATTATGCATCAACTAATCTATGTCTATGGAATGGTAATGGCTAACTATTTCTATATATGCAATATTTGGCATTCATTGACCGAGCAGCTAGCATTACTATCGGTTAAAATTTATAAAATATTTTTTTAAAACAGTTCTTCAGTAAATTAGGTTTTCTCAAATTCACTGTTATACTTTCTAGAATTGTTGAAGTTTCCTGCCTAACCTTTTCTTTAAGGCAAAATATGAAAGTTAACATCTTGATTAGATCATTATTTTCTCTTCTAGTTACATGTGCTGTCCATTTTCGTTATTGCTGTTGTTGGAATTGTTCAAGTGATGTGATTTTTGTCATTTGGTAAAGCTCTTTGTCAATTTGTAGTGCCAGGATCTGACGATGGATCGTCAATGGACCATAACATTTGGAATGATACCCAAACTGATACATTTGGAGTATTGCTTTTGATGAAAATCTTTTTTTTTCTTCACTATTTTGAAAACAATTCAGACTGTTGTACTATTATAGATTTATTAATTTAATTAGATTTTATTGGCTCTTTATTAATTGCAATATGTTTGAAATGATCTTCTCTATAGTTTCAAACAGAACTTCATAAACTATACTTCAAAGATTTACTCCAATATTTGATACTTTTTTTGAATCAGCCTTTTTAAAATTGCCATAAACTACTCAAATAACAGGATTAATAAGAAACAATTTTTGTGAATAATACATGCAGGTAATTCAATACAACACAACACAGTTGACTTAGAATGAATAACACAAATTTGGAAGGAGAATTTTTCTGCTCACTTTCAAACTGATGAACAAGCCAAGAAAACAAAAACAAAATCCATTTCAAAATAGATGCTGTATAATGCACAAAAAAGAAAAAAAAGGAAAAAGGAAGTATTTTTAAAAATCATGCAGCAATCAGAAAAGAAATGTGAACCTTTTACGAGATCACCCTTCTTCAGCTTCAAATCACCAGGCTCAGTGGGTTTAAATTTTTTTGTGCATATGAAGACCCTATTGGGCAGTGCTGCATACAGCCTTCGTCGGGAGCATGGTTTCCCATGCTGACTCTGTTTTTGTCTCTGGTGTGGATGGTGATGAGGATGGGCGTTACTACTGCTTCCTGACCCTGGAGTGAGGGAAAACATGGAATTCTTAACAAGTTAATTTTTACTCAACTAAAGAAACACTCTTCAAAAATAAAATTTTAATCCGCCAAAATGGTAAAAATGTCATTTGCTTTGAACTGCTTCGATTACTTACTTGTAGAAGTAATTTTTTTTTTTTTTTTTCAAAAGTTGGAAGTTTTTTTTTTTTTAAAGAAATTTTGTTTACAATTTAAAGATTTTACAGAATCTACATGTCCACGTAAATTGTTTAATTTTAATTTATTTTAGCTAATATTTTTAACAACTTTTGAAACGTGTGTATTTATAAAGGATTCTGGAATAATATTAAAATTTCTACTTGAAAAATAACAAAAGACTAGATACTGAAGAATAAAAATAGTTTCTATCATAAAGTGAATATAATCTTTCCATAATATATAATCTTTCCATAATATATAATCTTACCATAATATATACAGCATTGTTTAACTATAGTGACTAATAAACAAAGTGGGGACATTTATTTATTTTCCTTTTTTGAGGAAATTTTTTTTGTGGGGGTGTGCAAATTTTCTGAACCCCTAAACTCATTAAAACTAACCCATTTATTAATTTTGCACTTTTTGATTTTCCAACTACCTGACCACTTTATTGTGTACTGAGAAAAATTCTGACCCCACTGATTATTAAGATGACCACTCCTGTATTAGGTGCTTAAAAGTAAAAGATGTACAGAAAGCACATATATTGAATTTAAATTTATGGTATTTTAAAACTCATAAGTATTAAAAAATAAATAAATTTTTGAAAAGGATAACATTTAATTTAATGATACTTATTAAAAATCAACTAAAAATGTATCATAATGCGATAGGTACACAAGTTTGCGTATATGTAATATTATTCATTTTATAAACACATGAACCCAGAAATATATGATAGTTGTTTCTTGTAATTTCCAAATTAATAATTGTATGTATATCTCTAAATATACTACAGTCACAAATGACACTCAATTTATATTGTGCCTACTCTTGATTATTTTTGTATAACTCTTAAAATGCCTGACAAAAGTATGTAACATGTCAACTCTAGACAAGTATAAACAAATTTGCTTACTTTATTGATACAAACAAAATTTAAGTGGGTTGATTGATTATAGGATTACAGTAGGAAACAAAAAAATGGCATAATTATTTTGAAATTTATAAAAGAAAGCCAAGGAAGTAAATCTTAGATGTCAGTCTCTTCTAAATTTTGATTGGTTGATTTATTTCTGGTACAGCCAATCAACAGACAATATTCACACTCCCCCACAACTCATTTATACTCATGTTTATTGATTTTATTATATCAAATTAAGGCCAGTGTGAGAAGGAGAGTTGTTATTTTCTTTATAAGGTACCAGATGTTACCTATCAGATGAAAGAGAAAGGAAATGAAAGAGATAGGAAGGAAAATAGCAATGAAGGAAGAAGGAGGAAGAGAAAAAAAATAAAAATGATGATGAATAAAGAATATATATAAAAAACAGAAAGCAAGCATTGAAAGAGGGATTATTTGACAAAAATGAGAAATGAAGGAAAGGAAAGGGAGAAAGAATAAAATGAGAGAAAACGAAGAAGAATTTCATAATGGAAAATTTGGATTAGAGAAGAAGTAAGAGGAATAAAAAGAAGAATAAAAATAAAAAAGGGTGGGTGAAAAAGCAAGAGAAGGAAAGGAAATAGAGAAAGGGATATAATTAAAGGCAGTGATGAGATAAATAGGACAGCAATGGAGAGTTCCTACCATGTGACCATTAATCAAAGAGTAGAGCAACAGGTTGTGCTGTATATTGAGACGTTGTGATGTGTTTGCAAGGCATGATCTTCTGAACTGGCCTAAATTACATTGGAGAGAAGCTATGGAAGCTCCAAAGTTGTATCATCAGGAAATTGGATCAGTGACAGTTAAAGCAAAAAGCAAATATAAACTAACAAAAATTTTACAAAGCCAATAATAAAAAAAACATTGCACCAGCGTCTATCATAGATGTGATGAAAAAAAAAATTAAACTGACAATTCATCCATATTGATATTGTTTTGTTAATATATAATATCAATAACAGTAATAAAAATTGTTAATGCCTAATAAAACATATCAACCAGTACATTAGTGAAGAACAAACACATTCAAGGGGAGCAGATTTTTGCAACTAAAGTGCTCAATATTAAAAAATGGAGCAACAGTAGTAAATAAATAAATAAATAATAGTTCAAATGACTTCTCCTTCAACTTGAAGTTTCCCAGAAACTTTAAGTCAGAAGATAAGTCAGTGCAGATTTGGGAATCTGTAATGAGTGTGAAATAATAACTCCCTTTACCCACTCCTTTCAAATTTGGAGGAATAAAGAAAAAGACAGACAGAAACTTTACGTCACAGAAATTGACTGTTAAGCTGAAAAGGAGGAGGAAAGAAATTCATGAACATATGTGAAATTGGTTTTGGACCAATGAAAACTTTGTCTTCACAGAAATTAGCCATTGAGACATCAGGAAGAGGTATGGCACATGGAACTAGAACAATCTACCCTGGTGGACGAACTAAAGGTTTCAGTTTGATATTCCAATCACCTGAAGAAGGCTGGGGTGTACAACAGCCAAAACATTGTGAATATGGTAATGAAGATGAGGATAACAGTCCGAATAATGTAAATAATGCAAATAGTGACAGGCATATACATATTGTATATCATTTCTTGTATGATAGATATTTTAGAGTACAATGCATATTTGGTATTCATTTATTTCAGCTATTCTTGTCCTTTCTTCTGTTATGGTAAGGTGTTAGCAGATCACAAATATACTAATGCCTAATATGGACATTGTCATTCTCTCTTTCCAAGCATCCCATTAAGTAGATAAAACTGAAAGACAACTATAAAGCTATAAGACACTAATATTTCAGCATCAATGATTTTTTTTTGTTTTTTTTTTACACTATTTACATTGTTTGGATTGTTGTCCTCATCTTTGTTGTTATATTTATGACATTTTGGCCATTGTATGCGCCAGCATTCTTCAAGATCTTTCTAAATTTCTGAGATGAGGTATTGTAACTATTTACATTATTCAGATTGGTGTTCTCATCTTTGTTGCCACATTTGCAAGATTTCAGCCACTGTATGCTCTGGTCTTCTATAATTATTCTGTCAGAACTTTCTAATAAAAACTATTTTTGGTCAACTCTTGTTTTTCACATCATTTTTTTTTTAGGTAATTTTTGCAATGATTTGTCTACTGTCTATTTCTGTTATTCATTTCTTTCTTATGACAGTTCCATTTCAATGCAATGAGAAATTGAAATGCAAGTCAAAGTTGCATTTTAGAAATCATTACTTCTATTGATTTTTTTTCATATAAAACTTTTTGGGAAATTAAAATTAAGACATTTAATTCTAAATAAATTCACATTTTTTCTTCAGATTTCCAAACACTTTCCTCAATATATATATATATATATATATATATATATATATATATATATATCAGTGTGGGCATAGGAATCAATACTACAATTATCAATTTCATCTCTGAAGTGATCTTTAGACTATCAGATAGCTTTTTAGAGTGGTCACAAACATTTTAAAATTATTCTGTCAGAACTTTCTAATAAAAAGTATTTTTGGTCAACTCTTGTTTTTCACATTTTTTTTTTTAGGTAATTTTTGCAATGATTTGTCTACTGTCTATTTCTGTTATTTATTTCTTTCTTATGACAGTTCCATTTCAATGCAATGATGAGAAATTGAAATGCAAGTCAAAGTTGCATTTTAGAAATCATTGTAATGAAAATAGTGTAAATAGTTACAATACCTCTTCTCAGATATAAAGACAGACAATGTTTTGTTTTGTTGATTTGTCTCAGCCGTGAATAAAACAATAAGGACCTCCTTAGTGATTAAATAACATTTTTGGAAAGCACGTATTAGTCATAACAGTGCACAGATGATAAAATGAGGACAGGGTATGAATTTCAAAAATTGAAGATGTTACATAATTGATCAGTGTTTTGATATTGAATGTTTTAAACACTGTATACTGTTCCAAATGTCATTTGCGTCATTCTTGTCTTTATCAACTTTCACTTTGATAAATAGAATGTGACCAACATGGGATAAAATAGGATATATTTCAGTGTAATTTTAACTGTCAAGTAAGTAAAACAAAAATAAGTTTCTTTTCATAAACATGTAGCCATAATGTATGAAATTAACAAAGATTTAAAGAACATATTGAGTTTACAATTAAAATAAAATTAGGATGAAAATAAAAAAAATACATAAACATCTGAAAAGAAGACAAGCAATTTCAGAAACTAAAATTATCTGCAGAAAAAGTTAATGTAATAAATTTATGAAGTGATAAAATCTGAAAGTATGAAAACTTTCAAAAGAACAAAATCAAAACAGATTTAGATTTGGTTGCAAAAACTCCTTCAACAACAACAGTTTGCAATCAATAATTTTTGAAGACAAACTGAAATCCTAAAACAATAATTTAACTATATTTATCTTTTTAATAAATAATCTAATAAACGTGTTGAGTTGTAAACATGCAATAACACAACAGTATCAACATATCCTTGAAAACAATGAACAGTTGTTTAAACTCTGTTTAAAAAGGTATAAAAAAATGTTTTTGTTTTTAGAGTGGTCACAAACATTTTACAATTATTTTGTCAGAACTTTCTAATAAAAAGTATTTTTAGTCAACTTTTGTTTTTCACATCATTTTTTTAGGTAATTTTTGCAATGATTTGTCTTCTCTCTATTTCTGTTATTCATTTCTTTCTTATGACAGTTCCATTTCAATGCAATAATGAGAAATTGAAATGCAAGTCAAAGTTGCATTTTAGAAATCATTACTTCTATTGATTTTTTTTCATATAAAACTTTTTGGGAAATTAAAATTAAGACATTTAATTCTAAATAAAATCACATTTTTTTCTTCAGATTTCCAAACACCTTTCTCTCTCTCTTTATATATATATATATATATATATATATATATATATATATATCAGTGTGGGCATAGCAATCAACATTACATGGTGATTATCAATTTCATCTCTGAATTGATCTTCAGACTATCAACTAATGCTAGTTAAAATGAGAAACTGACACTCACTAAACAGTGTAGATTTTTATGTCCTCACTGTTGATATCTATAAACAATACAAAGCTCACTTCTCCCATAAGTATAACAGAATTTAAACAATATAAATAGATATTGCTTTATAATGTTATTTCACTGGGTTTATGTGTTTGAATAGACCTCCCTGTTTATTTACAAACAGTATAAGTAACACAGACGCGCATATATATATATATATATATATATATATATATATATATATATATATATAAGTGTGTGTGTGTGTGTGTGTGTGTCTGCACACAGAAGGTATTATCAAATGTTTGGGGAAATTGATTTGAACGGCATCTTTAAACTGAATATGATATAGATTCTGCTGCTACTGTCTGTGAAACTTTTGTAGGATATATATTTTTCTGATTAAATTCACTAAATTTTGGCTAGTATCTCATATATATATATATATATATATATATATATATATATATATATATATATATATATATATATGTATGTGTGTGTGTGTGTGTGTGTATATATATATATATATATATATATATATTAATAAATATAGATTTTTTTTTTCTTTGCCAGTAGAGACTGACTGTTACATAATTTAAATTTTAATAAAAATATCTGGTTAACATAATGTTGAAACAGTCCATATATCATACAGGGATTGCTGGTTTTTATTAAAAAAAAAAATTGTATTTAAAATAGATGGGATTTATAATTTATATTTAAAATAAACAGGGATTTGTTTTTTTTTTTTAAATTTTGTATTAAAATAAATGTAACTTTTTTATAAAAATATATATATATGCTTGACATAAAATAAACAAACAGAAGAAAATTAAAAACGTTAACCAGCTATATTTATTAAAATTTAAATTATATTATGGTCAGTCTCTACTCAGCACCTGAAGATTGCATTGTGCATGAACTCTGAATTGTGCTACCTGTGAGGTAAAAGTGTATATGTATTAATATATACTTTATAGCTCTGCTATATTATATCAAGAACTATTTTAATATATATATATATTTGTACATTAAGTATAAAACAGTTTTCTTTAAACTGCCTACTCAGGTTTCATGTCTGAAATTTCTATATTAAACCTAAAATATTTTCCAATAAAATAAAAAAAACACATTAAGCTACATTTCTTATTACTATTACTACTACTACAATGATGATGATGATGATGCTTTCATTAAATGTGCCATGTACAATATTTGAAATACATTTTTTTGCAGATAAACTGATGTATGATTGTTTTAGATGCAATTATCTTAAAATCAGTTATTTTATTTTTTTAAATCATTTCACACCTATAAAATTTTATTATAATTTACTAGTGTAAAATAATTAAAATTAATTAGTTAAAAAGTATAAACAAATAAATATTTTAATCAGTTAAGTTTGTCTATTACGCAAATTTTTTGGAGAAATTTGATTTAAACAAAGTCAGAGGGTTTGTGAAAAATTGTTACACTTGTCTGAAAATTTCTATTTTCAGAATTAGCAGTTAAAAACTTCTTTTATGTGGATTCCTGCTGATTCAATTTTTGAATAAAACAAAATATGTATTATTTCATTGACCAATCAGAGACGTGGGTTCATGTCCTCATAAATTTTGAAATTAAGGCCTGTCTTGGAACCTCCTGTTTTTCTCTATAAAGTGACTGGCCAAATGCTAAGTTCCTAGAATGTAATCAGATTTCAAGGCAGAAGTCACTCAAGAGTGAAGGAGCCTGTTGGCTGTGAAAGAAGGTTTCAAATCTAAATTTCAACCAAGATGAATGGACACTAAAAGTTCAACTAGAAGATAAATTAAGGACCTAGGAGAGATATCCGTTTGGGCTGTTTCCTGAGAAGAATTTGTAAAGAAATTGAAACCTGTTAAATGGAACTTTTCTATAAAAGAAAAAAAAAAAAACCTTGTGGCATCAGTTTTTCAAAATTTATCTAAGCTCCCTTTGTACTGAGACATTCTTACAATTAGGTGGGTGCACATTTTAGTATTATTTGCCTTATCAAAAATTTGAATTGTCTTCTCAAAGTTTTTTTCATTTTTGAAAATTGTATTGTAATGTGCGGATCTATTATGCACAAACATACATACATACATACAAAAATACAAATCACATACAATGCCAAGCATTCATTGGTTAATAAATCACCACTACATTACTACGGGCAATTTACAAATTGCAGTAATGTGACAATTTTGTAATCGCTCTATTTTTAAATAGTCAATTTTGTGTACTTTTGGGAGAAGCAGATCACAGAAGCTTTCTTAAGTCTCCTCAAAGCTCACTCGCTGATTGGTCAATGTCAACCAATCAGATTGTTTGCATGTGAAGAATAATTTTTCCCATGCAACAATTTGGAGCCTATAGTTGCTTATTTAAGCCAAGATTTTTCTAATCCCAATTAGTGAGAATTTAACTGCCAAACAAATCCATGACAGTTGAAACCATGCACCAACTTTCTCACTCACACACACCACTCACATGCTGAACATACCTTGTATACACTCACATAAACTCTTCTTACACAGCAATATCTTTCAAGAACAATCATTACAAGAGACTCATGAACATTCTTCCAGTGAACTTTGAACTAAATGACTATTTCTCATTGAACACTAAAATAACAGTTAAAGAGAGACAACTCTTGGTTAATTCAACCGTTTCAGGCTTTCCTTCACATCGTTGTTTGATATTGTACATCTTGTTAAATACATATTTTATGTGTAACATTGTCTTTTGGTTATCCTTTTTTTGCGTGAGCCCTGTTTCCTAATCTAAAGTTAAATTAATGTGGTGAAGTTCGCCACAGTAATCTTTAAGTCATGTATATTGCTTGAAATGTTATTCTGCCTTATTTTTTGAATAAGGAACACAAAAGGAAATTTTTGTACTTGTTCTTGTTTGTAAAATATTGTATTTGTTTTTATTTTTAAAAAATATGTACTGCAATAAATGTTTGTTCTTTTAAATGAGTGATTGAGTTTTTTTTTTGTTTGTTTCTTGTTTAACATTCAGTGTAAGATAGACGCTGTATTCTCTTTTCCCATTCTATCCCTACAAAAAATTTTTTATACCCCAAGCAAGGCAATAAAGCCACTAAGATGCAAGGGGTTACTGAGTATTAGAGAGTATGAGAAAAAATCTGTTAAGGAGAGAGAACAGTGAAAGAACATTTTTGTGTCATACAAAAACCAGTGAGAATGTTATCTTACTATTGCCTTTTCTAATGATGACTTTTTAGGATCAGTTGAAATTTTTAGGATAGAAAGAAAATTTGATGTTGATTACTAAGATATTTAACATCATATTAGCAAAACAAAAATATCTAAGTTTCCAATCAGGTTGTCAACCTTTCCACATTTTGATGCTGAAAAATGTGTGCCACATTAACTGATGCAGAGGGTGTGGACACACACACACACAAACATTCCATCTCATATTTTGATAATTAATTCATTTGAAACATTACATGTAAATTTTGCTTTTTTTTTAAAGAAATACTTCATAAACACAAATAGCTGGAATATATACAAAATATTACCTGTCTGCCTGCTATCCCCATCTCTCTTTATTCTCCTCTCTCTTTATCCTCTCACTCTCTCTCTCTATCCCTCTCTCTCTCTCTTTATCCCCCTCTCACTCTGTCTATCTGTCTCTTTATCTCCCTCTCACTCTTTTTCACAATTCCTATTGCTAAAAAATACCAAATTGATTTAATTCAACTTTGTTGGTCCACAGACCCTTGTTTGGGAACCTATCTTTAAAGGAGTCAGTAGACCCCATAATTAGGAACTTGTCCACAGTGCCCCCCCACTCTTGGGAAATCCCACACACTCCTGTTCAGCATTTTCATTTTAAGGAATTGGCAACTATAGTTTCCACTGAGTTCTATAATTTCATTGTAGAAATAAATTTTGTGTTGAAAACTAACCTCCATTATTGGCTGGTCCTGAATAGATACTTGATGAGCTCATAGATCGAGGGGAGTCGGAGTTGGTGACTGAATAACAGTCTGAACTTGTGCTGTACTGACGGAAACTTCCATCAGGATCAAAAAATCGGCTGTCCATCATGCTGAGATTCAGTCTGGTTTCACTACGACATTTTGCCAGTGTTCGAAAGTTGGCTGTATAATTTATCAATTTACGACGGTTGCTATACTGTGGTATTTCACGAAAGGGAACTGAAAAAGCAAAAAAATTGGATTAATAAATTTTCATTTCTGGGATATTAAAAATAATAAAAAAATAATGTCTCAATTAAAATAATAATATTATTAAAATAATATCTCAAGAGGTATTTAAAACATTTCTGTTCTTATTATTTTGCTCTTTGTTGTTCTAATTATTACTCCAGATTTCATTTTATTTATTATAGATTTACAGTATAATTTTCTTTCATTTGTCTTGTCTTGTATTCTGTTGGCACTCCCACAATTTCAATCATTCCTATTTCAGGAATCAACAATATACTTGGCTCTAAGCACAGAAAAATGACAGCTTATCACTTCTGTGCAAATGGTCTAGCTGAAAGATTTCACAGGTCCCTAAAACCTTCCCTACTCATTTTTTGCGGCACCCCTATTGTTATCAGGATAAAATTTCTGTATCAAATACGATTTCGGCCCCATTTATACAAGAACTACAGAATAGCATGGTTGAAATACACATGACAGCCTTTTAAAAACAATTTCAGAAAAATAAAAAAAAATATCTTATTGATGATAATTTTAAAAAGAGAGCATTCATATTTCTTAATAACTTAAGATAAAATATTTTGGCAAAGTTTTATTTATATATTTGCAAAACAAACAGTGTGTCAAAGAACTGTTTTTCCCTTGACACTGCTATTACTGTATATACCCTCTGTAATTTTTATTGTTTTAAAAAACTATTTTTAGAATTTTAATAAAACAGAAGCATATGAAACTGGATATATCCATTGTTTTTTTCTTGAGAATTGACAACAAAAAAATTAAACACTATTCTTGTAAATAAACAATCTAATAAATAAATAGTGTCATTTCTCAAGAAAAAAATCCAAATGCTTACAACCCAATTATGTGGTTAAAGCAAATAAAAAGAATTAACTGAAAATGCAGTTTTTCAAACTTTATAATTACAGTTACTCATTATTATTAGCTTACATAATTGTTCTTGTTCAGACATTTTTATAAATTTCTGAATAAAATTTTTTTTGCCATATTTATTTATCAGATGGTAAATAATAAATATTTATTTACATTATTTGGACTGTTTGCCTCATCTTTATTGCCAAATTTACAATGTTTTGGCTGTTGTACACTCTGACCTTCTTCAGGTGATTGGAATATCAAACTCAACCCTTTATTTTGTCCACCATGGTAGATTGTTCTAGTTCCACGTGCCATGTCTCTTCCGGATGTCTCAGTTATCTCCCTTTAACTCAACTCTCCAAGGTTTTGCAGTAGCCAGGTATTGAACTCACAACTCTTTGGGTCAAGTCACTGGATCCAACCAATGCTTTTATCCAGTGGGCCATGTGTTCTTGAGGAGCGTACAGCAGCCAAAACATTGTGAATATGGCAATAAAGACGAGAACAATGTGAATAATTACAATACCTCATCTCAGAAATATGGACAATAAATACTGTACTTAGTTCACATGAAGTTGAGAATATAAAATTATTCTTGTAAATAAACAATCTAATAAAATATCAGTCAGTTATGTGCTGTGCATAATACATGCTTAGGCAATCATATATCTTTTGATACATGACTGACGAGGCAGTAGGTTAACATTTCTTCCTGCGGTAGACCAGTTACCATCCAAGGCTATAGAACCTGGTCTGTCCTGCTATTTACTCGATGCTGGGAGATGGGGAAGAAGAGGATTCATACCTTTCCCAAGGGTATTAGCATGTAAGTGGATTTGACTGGAATTCGAACTTGGATCTCCAATTCCCTAATCTGAGCCATTATCCATTACTTCACCATAGTGCTTAATTCTTTTGTTGACAATTCTCAAAAAACAAGAGAATGCATAAATCCAATTTCATATGTTTGGGTTTTATTAAAATTCTAATCATTGCTTTTTAAAACAATAGAAATTGTCAAGTCTACAATAATAGCAATGACAAGAGAAAAAACATCCTTTTGACACATTGATTTTTGATGGGTATAAATGTTAAACTTACAAATTTTTTCCTTTAGCATTAATTTTTAATTTGAAATTGTTCTTACATCATGTTGCTTTTTATTATAATGTTGAGGTTATTTTCACATTTATTCTAAAACTATTAAGTAAACAGTACAGATTAAAGATAAAGAATAAAAGTTTTTATTGGAAATTTATTCTGATTGGAACTGTTTATTTAATAGTTAGAGAATAAGTGTAAGAACAACCATTTTGATAGAATGCAACAAAAATAAGATGAAAGAAAAACTAGTCAAAAATGAATAATAATAATAATGACAACTCTATATCTCAGAAATTCAAACATCATAAAACTATTATATCAACAAGTGCTAGGAGTAAACAAACAATAAAAATAAGATGAAAGAAAAAACTACAAATGTCATACCCTGCTTCAAACTAGAACTTGTTCTGATTTAATCTACATCAAAACCTTTTGACCAAATATAAATATTATGAAAGCAAAAATAAAAATAAAAAATGGCTCTTTGCACAGAGCTCTGAGCATCACATTTGACTCACAAAACAAACCCCCCTAAAAAAAAACAAAAATATAAAATACAATATAAAAGGAACTAATCATGAACATTGTTGCTAAAACAATGACATGACAAAAAACACTGAGTCATGATCCATCCTGTCTTCTTTTAAGAATGCCACTTACAATACTATCAGCAGTTATTGTGAGCAGGCAAGCTGGTCAATCAACTTGACACATGCATAAACTCTAGGCCCTACTGACTCATCATCCTCCAAGTAGCTTCCCTCGTCCACAAAGAGACATTCCACTCACATCCTCTGTATTGACAATACAAAGAATTTTATCATAACAATTCTTGCCTTATTTTCATTTTGCCTCACCAGTGGTACTTGTTGTTTGATTTGTTCTCTCATGCTACCATACACATGTTTATAACAAGAATAGCAGTGCTTCATCTTACAAATTCAAACAATATAAGATTAGTGTAATTTATTGCATCATTTTAACTGCTATCACCCCACTATTCATCAAGTGTTTGGTAATGCTTAACCTCTTTGCCCATAAAGAAAAACAAACTGTGTGTCAGTAAAATGGTTATTCCTTTGACACCACTATTACTCGACTCCCTTCACAATGTTTATTTACAAGATTATAAAAATATGATTGAAGTACAATGTAAGATTTATTATTTACCATTTTATTAAGATTTATTATTTACCATTTTATAAAGAAATAAATTTGAAAAGAAATATTTTTAATAAAAAATTAATAAAAAAAAATTACAAAATTATCAAAATATGAATGAAGATGAGATGCTCAACTTATTTTAATGAATTTATGTGATGAGAGCAAATGAAAAAAAATGCCTGGAAAATACTTTTTTCAAAATTTACAGTTACTCACCATTATACGTTTTTTCAAATTTTCATGTTCAGATTTTTTTATAAATTTATGAAAAAAATTTATTTTCCTATTTATTTCCTTATAAATGCTAAATAATAAATATTTTGTTATAATTAGTTCATATATTTTTATAATCTTGTAAATATACAATTACTCTTGTAAATAAGTAATCTAATAAATAAATAGTGATTAATATATTTGTTATCAAATTCTCAAGAATAAAGAAAAGGTATAAATCCACTTTTATAGGTCTTGATTTTATTAAAATTCAAATCATAGATTTAAAAAAAAAATTAACATTACAAAAGGAATTGAAAGTGTATACATATGTTAATAACAGTTTCATGAGAATAACCGTCTTTTTAAACCATTGTTTATTTGAAGGCACAAAGGTTAAATGTTGCCAAGTATTTTTTCTTCTCTTTTAAAATGTTTTGAATGAAACCAAAAACACTTTCATAAAGGTTTTTTTTTAACCCATATAGATGTTAATTCTAATTTACCAAGCTTATCTTTAGTTAAGTAATTAATCTTTCAATATCACACAGGAATTATTACAGATAACAATCAGTTCGTAAAATATAAATTTAAATTCATTTAGGCATTTAGAAAAGAAACAAAAATAAACAAAAAGATCTCCAGATCTGATTTTTGTCTACAAAATATTAAAATGGTTAAAAAGTATTAAGGAAATGATTTCCACTTGTTTTGATAATTTATAATTTTTTGTGATCAGGATAATCATTTGTGAAAATGTTATTCTAAACAATGTCTTTATACATCATTGAACTTCTGCTACAGGTGTAATGTACATTTTCAAACAAAGGGTAACTTACCAATCTCTGCCGAACTGTGGCCTTTGATTATCTCTGCTAGCTCCAAGTTGCCAGCAATAATAGCTGCTTCATAAGGTGTTTGATTGTTTAGGTTAACAATCACTTTGTTTGCCCCTCGAAATAATAAAACCCTGGCACATGATTCCTATGCAAATAAATGAACAAAAATTATATATCAGGACAAAAAGGAGAAAATCATACGTTGTTTGATATTTGCAAATTAAAAAAATTAACAAATCATTAAAATCATAATTCAGTCACTAATAAATAAATAATTACAAATAATTAATAATAAAATTACAGAAATACTGACTTGTTAATTTTTTAACACTATTTTCAAGAAATGTTTTTCATAATATTTTTATCATTTTTCTTCCATTTTTCATGAGGTGAAATAAATTTTTTTAATACTATCTTTTCATGAGTCATAATACAAATAAAGAATACATTTTGACAATTTTGATGTTCCTCTTGTGTCATATTTATTTTTAATAGTTTAACAATCAAGGAAAAGATAATTCTTTATTTGAATTGTATCCTCTTATCTCATTTTAACCACCACATTAATCAAAGTGTGGTAGAGTTGTATGATACAATGAGCACTAAAAGCAGAAATAATCTATTTTTTTCCCATATCTCACTATAGATTCATCCCTCTAAATCATGAATACCTAAAAAAGGAAAAATATAAAAAAAAAAACAACAAATAATTAAATTTTATAAAAATTAACAGTGGGTTCAGTAAACTATGGAAATTTATTATAAATTGATCCCCACTACAGAAGCTAAAAGAAAATATGCTTAAATGACATGATTTGCGAAAATAAGAAAGAACATTTTTTTTAATTTTTAATCTGGAGGCCTTAATCGATAATAACATTTTTAATCTGGAGGCCTTAATCGATAATAACATTTTTAATCTGGAGGCCTTAATCGATAATAATATTTTTAATCTGGAGAGCTTAATCGATAATAACATTTTTAATCTGGAGGGCTTAATCAATAATATTTTTAATCTGGAGGCCTTAATTGATAATATTTTTAATCTGGAGGCCTTAATTGATAATAATATTTTTAATCTGGAGGGCTTAATCAATAATAATATATGAAAAATGAATGGCACTATTCAGTTATACAACTACATATTTTAGATGAACCCAAACTCTTTATAGAAGTTGGCTGTAAAATATTGACTATGGGAAGATTGTAACTGTTAGTATAGAATAATTAAAATATTAAGTTTAGTATATAAAACAAAATTTAATCTATGGAGTCGTTTAAAATTGCACAACTCTTCACTTTCATTATTTAAGTCATATAGCTGAAAAGTACCAAATGAACTTTGGCATGGTGAGTGGAGTTCATTTCACTGCTGATTTTGAATTCAGAGTTGTCCTTCTCCTAAACTGGTTGCTAAGCAAGGCTAGAAAACCCAGTCTGCCCTGCTATTTTACCTATACTGAATGGCAAAAAACATGGCTTCATACTTTTTTCATTCATAAAAAATGAACTTCATTCATTGATTGCATTTTTCATGCTGTTAGCCATTAGGCCACACACACCTCCTGACCAAGATGCAATCAATGAGGGAAAAGGTTACCCTGATGTACAACAACAACAACAAAGAGAGTTTATCTACCTGGTTTGTGACTGCACAGACATGAAGGGGTGTATTTCCACTGGCATTCTGTACATCCATGTCAGCTCCGTAATAGATCAAGTGTTCAAGGGCCTGCACTTTACCACTACGACATGCCTGACAAATAAAAAGAAATATAAAACAAATCACAACTTAGGCATTTATAATAAAATAATATCAAAATAATATATATAACAATTTTCACCATCAGCCAATCTATACAAAGACAGAAAACTGCCAATTTACCTACAGGGGTGGATAAATAAGTCTGTAATCTGATACATTGTTAGCTGAATTTGATCTAAAATTTTCATTGTATAATGTTTAAGCTATGTAATAAATATTCAACATTGAATTAAGTGCATTGACAAAGGAATAAATAATATTGAAAAATAAATATTTGTTGTGTAAAACAAAGGTTTTTTTACTTTCATCATGAGGCTACAGAATTATTATTGTTTTTAATGCTATGGCCCTTCAGGATATAGGCGACCATGGCTCTCCACAACTTCCTTTACTTTAATTTTTTGTGGGAAAAATAGTGGAGTGGTTTCCATTGCCTTATTCATGGTTTTAAATTAAGTTTTCTTTCTCCGAGACTGGTTGCCATGAAGGCTAGATATCCTAGTCTACCCTAACTTATAGCTGGGCGAGAAAGGATGAACTCATGCCTTTCCTAATGGCATTTGTGCAAAAGTGGATGCAATAGACTAAACTAGTATTTGAACTTGGCAGACCAAGTTTAAATTCTGGCCTAGTCTATTGGATTCACTTTCACACATGGCAAATCTGCCCAGACTTATAAATGCACCAATATTACATATTGCAGATTGTTTTTTTGTTTTAAAGATCCAAAACTTTACATATTTTGAAAACAATTTTGATATCAATTTGACAGAAAATAAAGAATTTATTTCCTTACCTGATGAATTTCAAACCATCCCTGTTCATCAGTTGTTCCAATTACAGCTCGTTCATTTAACAGCATTTCTGAACATACAGGATCATCTCTTGTCACGGCATAATAGAGTGGGGTTAAGTACCTCAAGTCCTTGTAGTTTGGTGATGCGCCCAAATCCAACAAGGTCTGACAAAGAAAAAAAAAAAGAGTTTTATATTAAATTATTTCAAAGGACAAAATGTCTGAACACTTTATAAAAACACACTCTAATCTGAACATCTTGTTAGCTTAAAGTTTTTGCAATTGCACTTGTAGTTATATCAAAAGACTTCAGATGTCTTACCCTTGTTCAGTACCTTCCGAAAAATAAAAATTAAGTAAAAATAACACTCACCTTAATTGCTTCACTGTTTGATGTCAAGGCAGATTTATGAATTGGGGTAAAGCCATGACGATTACGGAAGTCCATATGTGCTCCGCCACTAACTAATGTTATAATCATACTGCGGCATTTCTCCGGACTAAGTGTACATGACAATGTTAGTGGAGATTCTAAAAAAAAAAAAAAAACAACAACAAAATTACAATATTAGATATCATTATTTGTTATTAAGTTTTTCACTACTTTTTCATTTCATCTTATTTTTTTTTTACTTTTTAAACTTATTTTTACACTTATGTAATAATGGTTGATAATAGTGTTGTCAAAATATCTTAGATGAAGCATTGTCATCTAGATAATAAATACAAATGTCAGTGTGACACTGTCACATTTTTTTCAACTTTACTCCTAGTCCAACATATACCATTTTGAAATCAGGCTAACTCCATGAGCAAATTAGAAACATTCCGGGCAGGATCTAGACGTGCAATTTGGAAATTTTGGATTCCCAAGTTTTCATTACTATGATTGTTTTTGGATTCCACCATATTGGCTTCTACTGATAAAAATATTAAAGGGACACAACTTGCTAATTTACAATAGCTCATGTTCAAATAAAAAAATTACTGTTCTCAAATTACAATGTTTCAAAATAAAATTGTCCATGTTTTCAACTTTACTCCTAGAGGCCGTAGCCCAATATATCCTACCATTTTGAAATCAGACTGTGAGAATATTAAAAATATTCTGTGCCAGATCCAAACCCACAATCATGAAATTTTGGATTCCCAAGTTTTCATTACTATGATTGTTTTTGTCGATTTTTTTTACATGATTTTTGCGACAAATTTTTTTCTATGATAATGATTTTTATAACTTTGAAATAAATTTGGGAATAATTGAAATTAATTGCGAAATCCAGTAAAAGTCACCCATGAACAGTATGTATGAAAAGTAAGGACCTATGTACATCAAATTGCCTTTAAATGGCAGCAGAAGAATTATTGTTGAACTTTTAAAGGTAAGCTTAAATATTAATGCAATACTTAAATGCAACGATCAATTTTGAGTTCCTCTGTAGTTTATTGTTGCCTATCACATCTACTCCTTCCTACCTATTGTGATGAAGACCCAATCAAGAGCCTTCTGAAGGAGCTAGCTTAAATACAGTCCAATAGGGCGGTTTTAAGCTAGTTAATAATAATTTTGGATTAGTTTTTCTTTCATTTTATTTCTGTTGCTTTTTTGTCTGCTACTATCCTTTGGTTGTTTTCATTGTATACAATGTTTAATTAAGCAAAATCAGAAATAAAGACCTAACCCCCCACAAAATCTGAACTCATATCTGCTATCCTATCAGATAATTTTGGAAGAAGACATGATTGAGATTCAAATTTTGTCAGAAATTAATTCTTTATTTCTAATTCACAATATTTACTCAGAGTTCATGAAAAGTTTAACAGGCTTACAACCATATCATTGAAACACCAGTTCCCATACAATCACTGAAGTTAAGCAACATCAAGCCTGGTCAGTACCTAGATGGGTGACAACTTGGGAATACCAGGTGCTGTAAGCTTGGATGTGCAGGTGGTGTAATGAATAATAGCTGGAAATTTTTAATTGAAGAGCAGAGTTCCAATTCTAGTTGGATTTGTTACATTCACTTATACACAAATATCCTTGGGAAAGGCATGAATCTACCTCTTCTTCTCTCTGCTGTGGGTTAATTAGTAAGATTTACATCACTAAGTCATTATTATCTCCCCCCACCCACAAAAAAATTCTTACAATCTAAAAATATTTTCTGCCTTTAAATAACCTGAAAAATGTTGATAAGCTGTAGAAAATGAATAAATAATAAAATTTTAATAAAAAACCAAAACAAAAAAAAACCTCTGAGTATTGGGATAAAATATAACAAAAATAAGATGAGAGAAAAACTAGAAAAAATGATTAATAATAATGACAATGCTCCATAATGGCCGACTTTATGTCTTTGCTTTAAACAAAGGATGAAAATAGACTGTACAGAAAAACTAGTCAAAATATTTTATCTAAGAAATTTGAATAATTTAAGATTAATAAGTTTGATTTTTTTTTACTGCTACTAGGGGTCAACAAGCAATAAAAATAAGGGGAAAGAAATAGGAGTCAAAAATTAAAAAAATAACTAAAATATATTGTTTAAGAAATTCTAACAACTTCAGATAACCATTTATTTTTGTGACAAAACATAAATATCAATCATTAGCAAAATTACATAATTTAAAGATTTTTCAAATATATTTAAAACTGATTCAATTTTGTTAGTTGTTCCATCTGGATTAGAACTTTTTTTTATAAATCTACTAAGTAACTGCAATTGTATGTATTTTGAAGGTATAACTTAAACAAAAAAAACCTAACGTATTACATAACTCATAATCAGTGTATGAAATGGGACCATACTATTAATTATGTTATTTTTTAATAATTATTATTATTTTGGGTTACAAAATTTGATCTGTTTTAGGGAAAAGGGGGAATCAATAAGATATCTGATCATTCATGCTTCTTAAAACTGAAGTTATTTCCCTTTAATTATTTAACTCTGTACCACATTATCAAATGCTTTTCGTCCTATTGTAAATATCTTAAATGTTACAAGAAGACATTTTTAATATGTGAAAATAACTCGACTTGATTGTGAATGGTTGTTCCTAAGAGTAGAGAAGATGAATGTATGAACAGAAATGACATTGAGAATATTGCTGCAGTGGCGTAGCTAGTTTGTTTGCCGCCTAACCACAGAAAGAATACAATATTACAATGCACATTAACCCTTAAAGTTTTTATATATATATATATATATATATATATATATATATATATATATATATATATATACACACACACAGAGAATCAACAATGAAATTATACACCCATCAATTTTAATATTTTATTGCTGGCTTGCTGGCTAGCTGGCTTTGAGCCAGCCATATCAAAGACAAATTGGCCTCATTGGCTATCTTCTTTATTACTGCTTTTTTTTCCAAAAATTATTGGAATTATGCTATTGTTTTTTCTTTTCTGAAAACTCACCACAGACCAAAAATGATGCCCTGGGCAGACTGACCCCTTCCCATCCCTAGGAAGACTGCAACACTCCCACCCCTAGCTATGTCACTGTATTGCTGACAGCTACAAAGTTAACGATATTGTTTTTTTACTCACTCTTTCATGAGATGAGGTCTAAAGGAAAAAGTATTTGCATGTCATTTTTTTCTTGTTCACTCAAGAGGAAAGAGACAAACAAGAAGAACAATGTTGAATACTTATTCATTTTAACAAAAA